TTTGACAAGAGCTGGACTTGCATGCAGACTAGCCGCTGCTGCTGCCTCCCCGTTCATTGTCCCCTGAGGGTTTGTGTATATCGAGGTGTAATGCGAAGACAATGTGAAACTCAGCACACATTTAAACCAATTGCCTTCGGGCCCCACCGCATACGATGCAGCAGCAGCAGGTACGCTGTCAGGCGGTGGCGCTGCAGCAGCAGAATCTGCATCGTCTGTGCTGCTGCTGGAAAGGAGGAAGCGACGAGCCCCTTCGAACTCTGCAGCAGATATAACGGTTGTGTGTCCCGCGCTGCAGCTTCCGAAGCAGTCACAGCACGAGCTGCTGGCTTTGCCGGTGGTGTCAGTAGCTGTTGCACTGCATGCAGCAGCAGCCTCACTTAGACGCGCTGCACAGAGCTGTGTCAGATGCTCCGGGGGGCCGGAGCAGGGAATTGTTTCCTCCCCTTCTTGAGGTGTCATGAGTCGAGGGAGTGAGAGGAAGGTCACGAAGATGCGGCTGAAAAGAAGAAGAAGAGCACCGCGAAGAGTAGCGTTTTGCTGCGCATGCTGGGCAGCCTCAAGCAGCAGACAGAGGAGGTTCTGTTGTTGCTGCTGCAGCTGGACAGCAGCAATCCTCGCACCCGTTGTCAGTTGTATTCTATCTGCATGTGGTGGCGTTGATGCATCGTCACCATAGGAAAGCAGAGCCTCCCGCAGCTCCCATAACCACTGTAGGCCCACGAATGCGCTCGCTATACGCCTCTCCATCTGTGTGGCGGCAGTGTCATCTGTTGCTGCTTCTTCAGTTTCTTTGCTGTTACAAATATGCGTTTTTAAATCTTTCTCAAGACGCTGCAGCACGACGCAAGTGCCTCTCAAACAGCTCTCGAGGTGAAGACGCAGCAGCAGACGAATCGCTGCACACGTTGACCCGGTCCCCATGGCCCTGTCTTTCCTTCCATAGTTTTGTATGATGTTGGCTAACAGCGAGCTGGCTGTCGCCCATCTCCACGATGATATCTCTCCTACCAGCAGCTGCTGCTGTACTCCTTCTTCTTTTGAAAAGAAGAACCGCTGCAGCATCAGTTGCTGCTGCTGCTGTTGCTGCACTTGACCCTCTATAGAAGAGAGGAAGCTGTCGCTATCGTGCAGCGCCTTCACCTGCTGAGCCAGCCCATCACTCAAAGCCAAAGGCTGGCATGCGAGGAATTCAACTGAGTAACGAAGACAAAGAGAAGAAAAACCCTCAACTGGGGCAGGCGCAAGCAGCAGCATCCGCAAGCTGCATAGAAACACCTCCAGCACCCGCTCGAGCACCACGCCTTGCCACCACTCCTTTTCCACCTGCTGCAACGGATGCAGCTGCTGCTGCAGCTGCTGCTGGCGCTGATATCGCTGAACAGTCAACAAAGCTGGTAGCAAATGCTGGAAAGGATTATCTGTCGAGGGCACGGCCTTTGTGTAGCTGGCAGACAGAGCCCTCCATGCACAGACGATGACCCGAAGGAGGCTGCAAGGCAGCAGCACAGCAACTGCTGCTGCTGCAACCGTTGCATTGCAGTCTGAACTCGAACCGAAATTCCACAGCAGCGGCTGCAGCAATGGGGGAAGCGCAGGTGGCTGCTGCTGCTGCAGCTGAGGCTCTCCCCCGGCCGCTGAAGCTGAGGGGGCCCCCTTGATTGCACTGGTGGCTCCAGATGCAGACACACAGAAGGGTAGAAGAGTCTCGAGCAGCTTTTGAATGTATGCATCAAAACTGCCGCTGCTCCTCGGAGAAGAGGAAAACCATGAAGCAGCTGCGTCCGCTAAGGTGCAGCAGCCCACGAGCACAGGGGGAGGGAGGCAGTAACGGCTGCACGACGCGGCTCCTGTTGCAGCCGCTGTTGCAGCTGCTGGTGCAGCTTCTGTTGCAGCTGCTGTTGCAGCTGCTGTTGCAGCTTCTGTCGCAGCTTCTGTTGCAGCTCCTGTTGCAGCTGTTGTTTTAGCTGTTGTTTCAGCTGCTTTTTCAGCTGCTG